GAATTCCAGTGTGGACGCACCTTTTTTAGTAACGAATTTCGTTAAGGTCGTCCATCCACTGTTGTTTCCACTAATGTTGATGCTGTGCGTAAAATGATTAAACAAGATCAGCATATGACATATCGCAAGATTCAGGCATCCTTGGGCATTGACATGAAAGCAATATATGCGATTTTTTTTGTATGATTACTTAATCGTACGGAAACTTTGCAGTCGTTGGATTCCACACAATTTGATCGAAGCTCAAAAACAGGCTCGTGTTAAATAGTGCAAAGAAATGCTCAAGAAATGTCGAATTGATGACTCATTGTCCGTATTCATCTGATTTATCACCTAATGACTTCTTTTTGTTCCCAAACATCAAACATAAGATGCGTGGTGAGCGATTTGTGTCGCCTGAAGCAGCTGTTGAAACATTTCAAACACTGATTTCTGAGATTACAGCCTCAAAGTGGAAAAAATGCTTCGAAAATTGGTTCGAGCATATGCAAAAGTGTATCGATCTTAAAGACGAATACTTTGAAAAACAATAAAGCCATTTACCGAATTTTACGTTTTTTTTCATATCGTTTGCAGAAACTTTTCCAGCAGCCTACGTATAATGCCTACGTACAAAAAATAGATGTGCATAAAAAAAAATAATAAATACTTAGTTTTTATCGGATTTCACTGCTCATTATTCACCTTTTTTTACATTCAGTTTTTTGTCTGTTTTATTATATATCGCAATTGTGTCTCGCGTTTATAGCCGAAATTAAATCAATTTGCTTTGTTTTTGATTGCAGGTAGCGGAATCGACCCAAGGTCTATCGTTAGCTTTGGAATTTCATCTCAACGTAGTAGTTTTATTACTTGGAACTTGAAAACAGGAAAATATTATCATAGGTAAAAATATAATTATAATATAAAAAGATCGCGTTGAAGGGCGTTCCGGCATGGATATTCTGAAATATGTTCTTACAATTGTGGTTTTCTTTCAGATTTATAATATGGAAAGATCAACGTGCAGCCGCTTTGGTCGACGAATGGAATCAGTCGGTGACTATGAAAGGACTGCGAGCAGGCGCGCATATTTTATACATGTTTACAAGAAGCAAACGCTTTTTGGCTGGCAGCGTTCTAAAATTTATGAATATACAGGTCTGTATAATCCAAACTATTATATTGCCACAAAATTTCGCGACTATTTTTGTTTTTTTTTCTAGTCCTTTTCAATATTTTTTCAAGAACTTTACGTAGCTTAATTTTATTCGTAGGTTACTTTAAAATTAGTATGGGTTCTCCAAAATATACCAGGTCTCCGAGAAGCTGCTGTTAATGGAGAGGCAGTGTACGGAGGCGTGGATTGTTGGCTTTTGTACAAGCTAACAGGTGAAATAATATTACATACTTTATTTTTTACTTCCGCATTTATATTCTATTATTTTGATAAATGTAAATTATATTTCTATTGCACACAGAGCAGAGCTGTGTAAGCGTCGAATGTAATAATAATTATTATTATTTCATAATTTGTTGCATATCAACGGATTAATAGCCGTTTATTTTTTTATTTATTGTAGGAAGGCATATAATGGATGTTTCATGCGCCTCAGCAACCGGTTTATACGATCCATTTACAATGGAATGGGCCAACTGGGCGATAGGTTTTTTGAAACTGCCACGCAGTATTTTTCCAGAAGTGGTAGATACAGCGGGAAATTTTGGAGTCACACCCAAATCTTTGTTTGGGATTGAAATTCCCATTTGTTGTTCAGTAAGTAATTTATTATTAAAAAATTTTATGATGTAATAAACCTTCATTTGACATAATTGATTATACAATAATTATAATTATATATAACATATCGAGAGACATACGATCGTGTTTTGTGTCAATTGACAACGAGACCAAGCATGTATCTATGTGTATGTTGCATACGAGCTTCTCTCTTTATAGTTTCGTAATTCACAGACGTTTTTGCTTTTAATGATAATTTGATGAAATTAGATGGCTGACCAAGCAGCATCCTTGTTTGGTTCAGGATGCTTCAAATCTGGCGATCTCAAAGTTACGATGGGGACTGGCACTTTTCTAAATGTTAACACTGGACGGGAAGCACATGCATCCGTTGCTGGTAATTTTGTTAAATCATATTGTACACTTGTTGTAAATATTTAAATAGCAAACATGTGTAGTCCCTTTTTTATCAGTTGACTTATTGTAAATCTTTATTCAACATATCTTATTGCGTATAGAATGTATAAATAGTATATCGTATATTTTAATATAAAAAATAAATGTAAGAGAAATTATTTACAGGACTTTATCCAGTTGTCGGTTGGCGAATCGGGAAAGAATTAACATATGTAGCAGAAGGATCTTCAAGCGACACTGGTATACTGATTGAATGGGCTAAGTCAATAGGTATTTCACGAATTTGTGAATTTTTACGAGAAATGTGTGATACATTTTTTTTACATATTAAATTTATATAATTATATGATTGTTGCAGGAGTTATAAACAATGTTTCTGAAACGGCTGATCTAGCAAATTCGGTCAATGATTGCGATGGAGTATATTTTGTTCCGGCATTCAGCGGACTGCAGGTACAGTCTATTATAACAAATCATTTCTTTTAATATCAAAATTCAAAATTTTGTATTGTAAAATATGATGAAATCATTTTTTGTTATGCACACTAGAAAATACAAGAATTTATAGTCAAATTATTCCTGAAATTTTCCTTTTTTGAATACGAAAAGTACTAGATTTTTTATATTAATGATTAAAAAAACATTAAATTTGTTTATTACATAAAATTTATAAGAAAGACAACATCGAATTATAAATGCTTTCATATAACGTAAAGAGCAACGGTATGAGAAATGAATATAAATAAGTATAAATCATATTATTCATTATATTTCAGGCGCCTATAAATGATTATACAGCTGCAACCGGTTTTTTAGGAGTAAAGCCTACTACAAGGAAAGAGCATATCGTCCGTTCTCTACTGGAAAGCCTTGTTTTTAGGATACAACTACTTCACGAATGCTTATGCAAAGAAACATCCTTCACATATAAAAAAATAAAGTAAAAAAAATTATATCTTGACATGTATTATAATGTATTAAATAATTCACAGTGAATATATTTAATATTTTCTAATTTTGCAATTATAATGATGCAAAGATGATGTCAATATAGTGAAGGAACAAATAATTTTATTTCGCCGTACTTATTTCGCTGTCAATTTCTATAACTCCTACGAGTTCTGACGCGATGATCAAACTTAAACAGTACATAAAACGTAAAAGTATCAATTAAAATAAACATAAAAAAAAAATTCCAATAAAAATGCTATTATTTTTTTTAGGGTCGATGGTGGAGTTTCTAAAAATGACTTTATTATGCAATCGTTAGCTGATTCGACAGGATTAGAAGTAGAACGACCGGAATCTGTGGAAATGTCCATTTTAGGAGTAGCTTTCCTGGCTGGTTTACAATGTGGTATGAAAAATTTAAGTTATAATTATTTAAAATTATCTATTATATTTTTTTATCAAATTTAAAAAAATTTAATTTATAGTATTTTGTTTTATATAGAACAGTTTTACTGTTGTAAAAGTATCGAACAAAAAAATTGTTTATCAATTAATGTAAATGAATATTTATCATCTTTCACGTCGTGCAATTATAAGTTTGAGTGCATTTTATTTCAGGATTATGGAAAAATAGAGAAGAAATATTAAAACTTCGTCAAGTGGATAGAATATTTAAGCCAAACGAAAAATCACAAACATCTTATCAACATGTGTTCAAACAGTGGAAGCGTGCGGTGGAGCGCTTCAAAAATTGGTACTGACAAAGATTTTTGAATAACAAAATTTTTTTGATAATATATACAATAGGACATATGACGCATATTAAACTGAAGTTTTCTACCAAACTTTAAGAACATCTGTGTTCCAAATATTGCAGATTGATATTTTGTAAAGTTAAATATTACAGGTGTAAAATTATTTTGGGATGCATCAATTGTTTTTTGATAAATTGAGGGTATATGTATTATATATCAAACATTCCTGGTAATCTAAGCATATATGCATTTGATACATTAAATATTAAAATGTTAATGTAAATCTGTTAATGTTAAAAATTGAAAATTATAATATAAAAGAAAATTGTTTATTGTACTGTAAAATTTTTATTGTACTGTAAACCTTCATGTATATTTACTATCGTATTGTATCGTACAGACGCGTAACACTTCACACACAAGCTTCAATTAAAATGAAAGCCTTAATGTTCGATGATATCATAGTATCTAAAGGACAAATAATCAAGGACAAACATATCATGTTCATCCGCGTAATATAAGACCATTGAAGGTCTCATCATATTTAAACAATTTTTTTTATTTCTTGAATAGGTTTTTATCTCTTAAATTATAATTAATAATATTTAGTATGATATTAAAATATTTGAAGACTTAATTATATAATAAATTTGCAAATAAATTATATATATGTAATTTTATATATAATATAATTATATTTTCTAGAAAAATATGAATCAATCTTAATTAGTATGCACGTGGTTTTATTTATATTGTTATTCATTATCAATTTATTATACTTTTCTTATTTTTTATCAAATTCGGAATTAAAAAAATTATTTTTAGAATGTTCTATTCGTCTCTATATTCTTAGCGCAAAATCTTCCTTTGTATTTGCGTTGCGTTTTTATTTTTCCAAAAATAAAAAAAGGATAAGAGATGGCGAAAATATATTTATTATTTTCTATTTTTTAATCTACATAATCTATATAAGAGAGTATCTATAATTATATAGCTATAATTATTTATAATTATATTTGGTAAAATCTAAATATACTTTCAACTGGCCAAACGCAAAGTTTAGCGTAAATTGCCAGTGACATGAATTATATTAATTAAGATCAAGGTCGAAGTAACAATCGTAGCTTTCATCAAAGCACTAAAAGCAAATGAGAATAATATTAGACATAATAAAGTGCAAACAAAAGCGACTTTCAATTACTTATTGCTATTAGTAGTTAAAACTAACTTCCGATAGTGTTAAAGAAGGTCAAACTATCAGGACAATCGAAAGGGTTATACAACGTACGTTACTGATGTGAAACATGTGTAATAAGTGAAATTGCATGATCTACGCAGGATGGTAACAACACGCGAGATCGCTTATCAGCTTTAGTTGCTCGCCAGCTATCGAGTTCATTAAAAAGTAGCAGATAACACGCAGGACTAACACCTCAACCGAGTCAAATTTAGTCCTCGACAGACATCGAACACGTAAAAACACTTTTTTTCTGTGCCTTGCGACAATTTGGTCACTTTTGTGGTCAAATAAACGATCTTTTATCTTCGATAACTATTTGTTCTAGTTATCGTATGTGGTTGGTTGTTTCAATAAAAAAACCGCGTTTTACGTAGAATATTGCAAACAAACATAATATAAAGTTGGTTTATAATGTGTTTATTACATTATTATTTTTCGCCACAATTAACATACTTTTTAGTTGTGGATTATATTAATTGATTTACGCTCAGGTTTACAATTTAAAATGGCTGTGACAACATTGAAAGAGGCAATAGCGCCTATTAGATGGCTGAACTGCATATTTTGTATGGGAGTATTCGAGATACCTATAAATCGTCCACGATTTCTTCTAAGTGCTTTTTACGTCGTTTTGGCAACAATTGGATATTTTCTTTTTCTTTTCAAAGGAATGCAAGTTTTCGAGGAAGCATTCTCTTACGAGTTTATCATATTCTATTTTGTCTTAACGGTCAACATCTTAGTGGCTTCTTCGGCTATAATATTGTTCTGGTGCAAATCAGAGGTATGATAATATTTTATAGATATTATTGAAACATAAGATAACATAATTCATTTACATTATTTTATAATTATTTTGAAACTTCTTAAATTACCATTGTATTTTTTTTTAAATTAATATTTGCAGCGCCAAATTATTATTATATATACCGTAAAAACTTTTCTGTGTGAGATTATTTTTTTATTTCACATTAATCAAAAATTTAAATTAACACATTACAGAAATATTTAGCGTATTTTTGATGGTGGTTTTTATGAAGTTAATGCTTAGCTAATTTTTGTTTCTTTACAACAAAGATTTGCACATTAAACTTGGATTGTAATTATTTTGGAACATATTTATTAATCTGATAATTAATTTGAATATTTTTAGAATTTAAATAATATAGTTAAGAGATGCAGTATCGCGGACAACACTTTAGAGACATTAGGCATAAAAAAAAGTTACCCAAAACTCTTCCGTTCCATTTTAACTTTTATGATTGGTTGGCTAGTTGCCATGATATTATTAAACATTATGCATGTAATGTGGATGTATCGCGATGTCGGATACTGGTTCACTATTTATAGCGATATATGCTTTTGTCTTCCGATTATGATAAATTCTGTGGTGGATCTTACTTTCACTGCACTTATCAGGTAAGTATTATGTTTCTCAAAAAAAGCTACTAAAAAATTTATGATAAAAAGTTTATTCTACAAACTGGAGTTATATTTTCTTCATTTTTAACTTATATATTTTTTGATTATTAAGAACACGTTTATGTTTCAATTTCATAAATTATTTGAAATAAGAAATTAAATACACATTTTTGTGTATCTCAGCAAGATTGATTGATGCAAGATTACGTGGTAGGTGTGTTCAAGTAAAATTGCAGAATACAAATATTTTGCTTAACAATGTAGTAGTCTGCGCAAATGAGTTATGTGTTTATAAGATTCATGATGATTATGAGAACAAACCTATTACAATGGTCAGAACATATTATAAAAATCGCAAAGACAAGATACTGCATCTTATACAGACGTTAAGGTAAGATCCATGATAATTCTTCAAAGAGATAAAGTTTAGATACAATAAAAAAATTTTTTTAAATTACATATAAGAAATTAGAATCAAGGAAACAACTTTTAGCGTATCAAATGCCATGTTTTAGTCGACAATAAAAAATTTCACAACACAAAAAATTAACAATATATTTCATATTTTATGTCGTAAATATAAGGTCAATTAAAAAATTTTAATTTTAATTTAATTTTAATTTAATTTTACTTGAATATTTATTGACTGTAATTAATATATCTATCTTAAAGACATTTGCATCAAGAAATTACGAGAATAGGACGAGCAATTAACGAAACTTTTTGTCTGCAACTTCTGCTCGAATTGGCGGTCCATTTTACCGTAGTAACTGCAACTACTTATTGTTTATATGCCTCATTGATCGGACATATAAATTGGCAAATCAAGGGCGAGAAGATCATTGCGATGATAGTCTGGGGAAGTGTGTATGTGTTTAAAATCATATTTGTGAATAATCTTTGCGCTAATATATCAGTTGAGGTAAATATCAGATTAAAGCTAAGTATAATTGTATAAATTACGATAATCCGATTAAATGCATATTTGCAATTATATGTATAATTTATTGATTAACACTAAATATAAATTATATGTATTTAAATATCTTTTTATATTTAATATTGTTGTATTAAATAATTTGTGCATTGCAAATTTAATATGTTATTTATTCATGAATTTATGTCATATCTACATTAAATAATCAAGATTTATTTTAGGCATATAAAACGGGTGAAATTATACAATCTTTTGGAGGACCTCTCATCGATAATGATATAAAAGACGAGGTAATTATTTTTTATATAGTATACGTTTTTATCTCTCAATAGTAATATAATAATAATATATATAATTATTTTTGTTAAAAAGATGAAATCCATGTGCAAATGTGTTTGCAGATTCATCAATTTACACAACAAATAGTGCTTAATTCATTAAAGTTCACCGCTTTTCGCTTCTTTACACTTGACAATTGTTTCACTGGCAAGGTATGTTATTTATTTATATTCTTAAAAATTTTTATTTACAAGATCATTTATTCAAAATAATTTAACTTACGTCATTCATTTATTTTGGACAATAATATGGCCAAATTAATAAGATTAATAAGATAAGTAGAATGATTTAAACAGTTGGCATTTAGTTTATTTATTGTAAATTCTAATTATCTAAAATCGTCTATGTAAGCATAAATTATTCATAAAATATATTTGAAATATAAAATTTTGTTTTTTATTTAATATTTAATTTAAAAATAATAAAAATTAAAAAGGTTATAATAATGTTTTGTGTATTTTTTTTAGTTCTTTGCTACGGTCACGACGTACGTAGTTATCCTGATACAAATGAATGCACCAGTATCAACAAATGAAGATGAAAGTCTATAAGTATATGACGATTTATTACATAAAAATTCAAAAATATTATAACAATGCTATACATTAATACTTATTAGTTTAAGAAAAAGGGATTTATGAAGAGTTTTTAATAACAGCTTATTAAAAATATCTTTGTAAAAAAATTTTGCAATTGATAATGTAAATTAAAGAAGTCTAGATTATTTAAATTTAGATATTACAAAATTAGTTGGAGAATCTTTTGTATTCTTTTATAATTAACTCTTTCGGTACAGAGCAGCTCAATGAAGAAACACTCTGTGTGGCCGGAATAAAAATAGTAAAAATAGTAGTAATAAAAATAGTAGTAAAAGCGCGCTGTGGGCCCACAGGCCAACATGGACTTCTTTCTCTGAGCGCATGTATGCGCCAATAGGCCAAAAGAAACTTCTTTTCCTAAGCGCATATATGCACCAACAGTACTGAAAGAATTAAGACGTCTTTAAGATGATTCTTTTTAGAACGTCTTTAAGATGTTTTTTGTTATGATGTCTTTAAGATGTCTTTTTAAAGACGTCTTTAACTTAAACACTCTATGCGGCCAGAATAAAAATAGTAGCAACAAGCACTGTGAGCGCATATATACGCCAACAGTACTCAAAGGGTTAATCTTTTGAAACGCTAGAAATACTTATAAGTATTGTATATCAACTTGTAATATTTCAGAAAAGTTAGCATAACGATAGTAAAGTAAGAAGAAAATTACATTTTTTTGCAATCGCATTTATTTATAACATAAAAAATAAATTAACTTTGTATAAACTGAATTAGATTTATTTTGTCCTTGACCCTTTTTGTAACGTAAGTAAATATATCTAAAATGTATAGGTATACAGGATGTCTTGCGATTCGCTAATCAAAATACTATAGCATAAAAGTATTAAAAAAATAAAATAAAAAAGTTATTTACGATTTTTCAATCTAAACAACCTTTTCTGAAATATAATGCAATTAAAAATAACTACTTTGATAATTGATTTGTTGAATTATGTACACCTGTGCTGTCGTTTAATGATTTAATAAAGTTAATGCGACGATCTAATCAAATATCTTCCATCATCATGATGAATATAACAATTGTACGCCATTTCGATTCGGAGTCTAATACTTTGCGTATAGAATTGTATAAAAATTGTGATTATGGTTGATACTATAGAAAGAGCCATACGTCCTCTTTTTCTAGTCACTTTTATCATCGGTTTTGGAATTCTTAGACATCCTTTGGACCGTCCGAGACAGCATTTAAGTATTTGTTATATGTTAATCTTATGGAGTGTTTATGCATATGCGTATCATTATGTAATCGTGTTACTTGTGCCGAATATATTTACCAATGACAATATAAAGCTTTTCATACTAACGTCAAATTGGTTTACGATGATGATATTGATAATCACCACTGTTCGCAAAAGTGAGGTACATTATTTTTTATGGATATTATGCTAATGCTGATGTAATGTCACAAAAACAAATCAAATAACACATAATGTTATCTATACTAATTTATATACTAATTTAGTCTTTTCTATTTTTATTTATTTGGAAAAACTAAAATTAATTGAGTCTTAAATAAATTTATTATTTATGTGTAACTGAAATAAAACCTTGCATTTTTACAATTTTATTTTAGAACGATAATTTTCAAAACAGTGTTTTAATATTTAACTAATAAATTTTGTTCTGAATGTATTAAATTGTCACTATTATAAACATGTATTTTTTTCTGAAAAAGGCTTTAATAACTATTATATCTTTAGAAATTTCGAATATGTATAAGAAAACTCGGTTTTGTGGATCATACATTGGCAGAACTCGGAATACCCAAGGAATATCGTAGAATACGAAATTCGATAAAATGGGCATTTGTTATGTGGCTTACAATGATTTGTATGACATGGACTACTGCTTCTTACTGGTACACAAAATTGTATAGTGACATAAGAGTCATAGTTATTCCTCCCATCATGGATTATTATATATATGTCTTTACTTGGATTGATATAACGTTTGCACTTATTCTAAGGTTTGTAAATCTTATTTAAGTTGAAAGCATTTAATCACAGACAATTAAAGTCTAGATAATTCAGTTTAATAAAATATTAATTTTCAAAATTTTTAGTATTTGCTATGATAAATGAAATATATTATAATATAAATAATATATTATAATATAAATAAAAAAACAAACTGCAAATTATGTTGTCGCGATATGTGGTAACTATACGTGTATCCATTTGTTATTAAATGTTAATTTTTTAAATTTGTTATGCAATATAAAATACTGTGAGCTCATTCACAAAATTACTTGTATAAAATTACAAAATTTTAAGCATATTAAGCAACGTCAAATTATATGTAACGACTGATTAACAGAGCATTAATGCTGAAATAAATGCAATAGCTCTGTGCCGTCGATGGACTGTGAAGTATTAATACGGATTTTTACAGACAAATCGGAACTAGATTGGATAAAATAAACGAGCATATCGAACAGATGGCAAAAACTGAAGAATATGGACTAAGGTGCACGTGGCAAAAATCTCTTGTTGTCACTCGCCACTATATCCGGACGAATAATCACCAACGTGTGTTGTGGACTGCAATGTAAATTTATATACACTTATCGCATTAAGGTGATATAAATAATTAATGAAGGTACTATTTAATTGAAAAAAAAAAATTTTATTGACTAAATGCACACAAGTAGAACTTCTTACTACATTTTAGTCCCATTTATAACGTTTATCTTTTTTTTTTTTTACTATAATATTTATTAATTTATAATTAGAAAAAAGAATTTTTTTTGTTAAATTTTTAAGTATTTATTTTATTAATATATATATTTTTAGGCATCTTTATTCAGAGCTTTGCCGTATAGCTCACGATATAAATTGCATATTTGGAACGCAAATAACTTTGCAAATGTCAACCTATTTCATAATTTTAACCCAACTGTTTTATGCTCAATATCATACGATATTATGCATACCACAAATCTATGAAGACAATAGAAACGGAATAAAATTTATACTTTGGAACGATATGTGGTTAATCATATACTTAACAAAATTAATATTTTTGAATCATATTTGCGAAAGCGTTAGCACTAAGGTAAGCTAATTTCTGAAAGATGTAAAAATATTATTTGTACAAACAAAACTATTTAGGCGCAGAAGACTAAGGATGTGATTCATAAATTGACAAATCTTATCCGTTTTGCGGAGGCACGCGAAGAGGTGAGATAAATTGTTGCAACAATTTTTTTAAAGAAGCTTTTATTAGATACCTATAAATAATAATAATATCACAATGCAGATTTGCCAATTTGCTTTACAACTATCACTTCGGCCATTGAGATTCAATGGAATGGGCCTATTTTATTTTGGTTATAATTTTATTCGTAAGGTTTGTTTCTAATATCATCTATTGTCTGTATGAGCACAATGTAATTGTAATCTAGAAATATCTTATTTAATAATAAAATTTGAAATGGTAATTATATATATTTGACACTTTTTAGTTATTTACTCAAATTCTGGCTGTTATTGTTATTATGCTACAAATGGATAATTTTTCCATATATCGAACGACGACTTCAGGCAACAATAATGTGACATGTCACAATTAATAAGCAGGAAATAAGCAATTGTAAAATTCTTTACTTTATTTTTCTAGTTTATTATTTGATATTTTTATTTTGCTTATAATTGTTACAAAAATTAGTTGTATTTTGCATTTATTATTTTTATATTATATATTAATATTATAAATTAATATATAAAAATTTAATATTATATATTAATTTATCTCATATCAAATTTATTGCATATATGATTTATCGTTTCAACAAAGAAATCGCGTTGAAATGCACATAAAGTTTAAAAACCTAATGTAAGAATTTTATAATATGTTTTCTATATCATTAATCATAGCAATAATTAATATATTTTCTTGTTACACATTTCGTTATGCTTTAATTAAAATTAACTACTGCAAAATATTATACTTTATACAAAAATTAATTATTACAACTGCATTTGTTATTGTTAATTTAACGATATTAATTTTGATCTAATTAAGAATTATTCTATTATTGAGATACCGTGTGGCATTTATATCTCACATAACAACTTTCAACTTGAAATATAATAGTTAGTGTAGAATTGCAACAGTTTGCGACAGATCATGATTAATACCATCAAAGAGATTATACATCTCGTTTCTTAATTTTTATTATTTTTGGTTCTGGGATTTTCAGACATCTTTTCCATCGTCCAAGATTGTGTCCAAGTATTTTTTATATATTAACTGTGTGGTGTATATATGCCTGGATGATTTATTACGTGACAATAATCTTTTCACGTATGGTGTATAATTTTTTTAAATTTTTCTTACTAATCGTAAATTTGTTTGTGACAATGATAGCTATCATTACGACCATATGCAAACACAAGGTATATTTTCTTTTGCAATATTTATTATTAATTAAGTAGTGAAATTTAGATTTATTTAGTGTGATTTAGATTTATTTTCGTCTTTATTTTTTTCTGTGAAAGTTAATTTAAACTTAAGTAAATGTTTTATCCATGTAAAACACAAATTTTTATCTTTCTAATTTTTACTATTACGTTATGCGTTTCTTATATGTTTAAAACAAAAAATAGTTAACGATTTTATACATATTTCCTTAATGGTTGTGGTTATTTTTAGAAATTTTACAATTGTATAAGAAAACTTGGTTTTGTGGACAATACATTAAAAGATCTTGAAATCTCCAAAAAATCTCCAAAATGTCGTAGAATGTCTACATTCCATTATTGATACACGATAAAATGGACATTGATTATATGACTTATAATGATTTGCACGACATGGGCTACCGATTCTTTAGTATGCGTAGAAATAACTAATCATAGAAGGGCTCCAATTATATTTATCGTTTTGAGTTATCCTACACATATCAATATCTATATGAATGTAATGTTTGTGTTTATTTTATGGTTTGTAAGTTTTTTGTTTTATATTAAAATTATTTAATAATAAGCATTATTAAAGTCTAAATAAT